ACTGTCTCAGACGTTCTCGACATGCATTTCGCGTTGGGTTAGACGGGACTCGGTGTATCTTCTGTTAATGGGCTGTAGATGGTGCAGGTTTTTTTTGTTTTATTGTATATGTGTTTTGGGGCGTAAGATTATTTGTATTTCCTTTTCGTGTCTCGGACACCCGTTACTGTGTTTGTTTACATTATCGCTGGTCGCTGAGGGTCGGGCAGCCAGATTCGCCACGGGATGCCTCCTGTCCTTTCTATTTTTGGGCTCCAGTCGGCTAGGGGGGATTAGTGATTTCACACATCATTTAGCCAATTACAAACATTTCGAAACTTTTGAAAAAAATGGTATTCGCGCGAATTCACTAGTTAATTCAAAGAACAGTCCCAACATGCACCCAACATTCTGCAACATACATTACAATACCCGGAGGTACAAAATCTACGATTTTCCTTGTTTTATACTAAAAAGTAAATGTTTTACATGTAGATCAACCAGTTGCTAATGCAATATCATGTAAAAATGATCACCATGTAAGATGAATATGAAATCTAGGATTTGTTAATCAATTGCAGTTATTATAATCCTAGAGACTAGTACTAGTAAACAATGTTTACATGCATATAAATCAAGTTTGTCCAAAAAAATGATTTGCAAACGTCACGTTGGAGTTTTATTTCTGGTATAGACATAGAAACAAACACACGACCATATTTACATTAAAAACACTGTCTCTGGCACATCCAAACACTGGTGGACACACAAAACAAAAGCGCAGTTTCTTTATACAGAAAAATAAAGCCTGCCCTTGCAGATGAACCCTCGATAGAATTTGCCCGGTGGTGTGTACCTTTACGTGGAAGTCTTTGATATATATATACATACTAACAAGACAAAATCGGACTCCGCTTATCCGTACGTTTATGGACGACTGCTGACTGTGTAGAACTGCTGACTGTGAAGGACGATGTAGGAACCATCCCGTTGTTATGGTGCAGGCTCCACGGTGACATTGTTCTTTTTCTTCTTGTACATCAGGAACCCGCCTACGGCTAGTCCTGCTCCCGCTACAGCCATGATCGCTCCCACCACGCCGCCTGCTACCGCCCCGCCCCGTGCCTCGCCCTTGTTAGCGGCGGCGGATCCTCCCTCCCCCGGCGGGCTGGTGGTTAGCGTCGCTTCACCTGACATCGCAGTGGTCTCTATGTAAGCATCACCACTAGTTGTAATGGTGGTTGTGTTTACAGACATGGTGGTTGTAATAGCAGGTGTGGTGGTTGCAAAAGCAGTCATGGTGGTTGCAAATGCAGGCATGGTAGTTGTAACGGCATGCGTTGTGGTTGTTTCAGCTGGTGTGGTGGTTGTAACACCAGGCGTTGTAGTAGTGGCGGTCTCAGTTGTAGTTGTTGCTGTAGTGGACGAGCAATGAACAAGAATAGGGGAAAGAAAACAATGGTAGATTTATTCTATGATACCCAATGACGTCCAAAGGAATTAATGTCAGGTGGTTTAAGAAAAATTAGGATATAAATTGAAAAAGAATTAACTAAATCCTTTTAGTGACGTAATTTATCAATGTGAATGGCAGCCCGCTGACTGGACGCCTTGAATCAGGTAATAACCAGACAGAAAGATGAGGGAAACGCATACCTTCATTTATCTGACAGATGAATCCTCTACGATAGCTGCAGCCTCTTGGGTCCCACGTAGACATGTATGTATTTAGTTTCGTGTGTGTTATGTGTCTGGGAATGCGGGTGGGCCGAGGGCGTGTCAGTATGTGTGTACCTGTGTGTATGTACGAGTGTGTGTGCATCTGCGCGCGCGCGCGCGCGCGTGTGTGTGTGTATGTATGTATGTGTATGTGTGTTTGTGTGTGTGTTTATGTGTGTGTGTGTGTGTTTGTGCATGTGTATGTGAATGTGTGTGTGAATGTGTGTACGTTTGTGTTTATGACATTTTTTGTTTTGTTCATGACAAGTTTGTGTGTGTGACTACACGTTCTCTAGTCACTGGTATGGTTATGGTTTTCAATAAAGGTATTTTACAAAATAACATGAACATCTACCTGGAGCACACAGAAGCACCTCCATTCTCATGCTGGGATGTCCATAGACCGTCTGCGGGTAAAACCGGACAAACCTTGCCGTGACCGGCGGGTCAAGGAGGTGTTCAACTTCGGTATTCTTGTCTGTGTTACCTGCAAACACCTATTAAGTCAAAGAAAATAATAAAAGCGCAAAACAAATAAATTAGATACTTTTTTACGATAAAAAGTTCGCAATCTGCTTTTTAAAGCAGATATGTAGTTTTTTATAAGATAGTATTTTTTATTATTATTAGGGTCATGAAGGGATAATTGAGGTTAATATCTTAATGTTTAGAAACACGTTTCTAATCTTAAATTTTAGTTAATATTACTTGTTTAACAGCAATCTGGATGTTATTGTACGATATATTTACATATCAGAAGAGCTTTATTTTCTCCATATATTAGTAAGCTTTATATTTCTACAGATAATTGCATTTTAGTAGGTTCCCATTGTCAAAATGTTAATGTCAATGGGGCTTAGAATTGTAGGCCTAATGCTATAAGATAACGTCTGTTTCTAACCTTTTCTTGTCCATACTCTGAGTATGTTTCCCACACGACGCCATCGGAGCTTAATGCTAGTTTATAGCTGGTCACCCACTGAGATATAGAGTACCGGTCCTCTCCTCTTCCCTGTGTGATCACACCTGCTACACTGGTCAGTGAATTCAGATCTACCTAATATGAAAACCAAATCAAAAGCATAATTAACTAGTAATGTAAATTTACCGTGCAAATAATTATCAAGTTTTGATGTACGTTATACTTTTGTAACAGACAAAATTAGGCAAACGTTCAAATGAACCCGTATCAGGCAAGCAAAGTGATCTCGATCCAGTTGTAACTTGCTGGGTAGCTTTTCTCCCAGTGGTCGGAACAGAAGACAGACGAGCTTTTCAACGAGCACAATAAACAGTTAAATAGGGCTTGACGTCATGTTCTAAGGAACGGTTTTTTTTTTGCTTTTCTCCCAGTGGTCGGAACAGAATACAGAAGAGGAATACGCCATGTACAGTATTTACAGGTTTCTTGTACATAAATATCAATAAACAATGGAGCAGGGCTTGACGTCATGTTCTAAGGAACGGGCTTTTTTTTGTAATAGCGTGCAAGTCAGGTAAGCGAAATCAGCCGGGATTCGAACTCCCAACTTTTAGGTCCAGAGGCAGGGTCGCCAAACATTGGATTCGGCACGCATGCCCGAGATGACTATGCTAGTCGAATGGATCGATAGGATGTCATAGTTTATGTAGTAGATATAAGTTGAAATATTGTACCTGAAGCCACTGCCCAGATGGGTTCACACTATCGGCGCACCATGCTGCTGCGTATGGGTCGCCCGAAGACTCTGATTCCGAGTTTAAGATTGCCTTCTCCGTTGAGCAGCTTGGGTGGACGGAATATGCTGTAATCGTGGCGGCGGCATTTTCCATGCCCGACGGCTGCACGCTACACGACTCTGTAGGAATAAACATGCGTTTTGAAGCTGTTACGTACATTTAAACACACACGGAGACAGAAAGACAGAGACAGGGAGAGAGATCGTGGGGGCGGTGGGAAGAAAGAGAGA